GCCACACGAATTGCTAAAATAAGCAAAGGCATAGAACACTGCTTAATATGGGTCACTGCAGTACCTACCCACCTCAGGGTACCAAAGATGTGGGGGTCTTGAGATGCTGCACATGCTTGAACCAGAGAATGTGAAAAAGGAACTTAAACTATCAGTAATAATAAATAATAATAATAATAAAAATGATTCACGATAATCAAGATAGTTGCCAAATTCATTTTCTGTCAATTGACTAATCAATGAATTAATTGTTGCAGCTGTAATATCCTGTTAACCTCTCTGCTCTTGTTAACAGCCAGACTCCAGGAACCTCTTCATCAGGAACCTCAGGCATTCAAACATCTTCCCAGGACATTCACAGACTTCTGGGACCTTGATATTACGAAGGTATATAGTCTTAAATGTATTAATCTTGGGATTAATCTCCTACTTTCAAAACCAATAGCAGCAAAGATACTAACTATGGGTTCAGCAAACAATCAAAAAATACTGAGAAGGACACGTCAACACCCCCAGCAACTATTGTGATGAGTGATTTACTGTTTTCAGTCATTTTCTGAGAGAAAATGAAAAACAATTCCCTGGTCTCTGTTTCTTCAGTATGAGGATGTGGTGGGTTCTTAAATATCACTGGACAAAACAAGAGATTTGAAGACGTCACCTTGGCCTCAAGGAGAAACTGTGATTGTTTTTGGGACATTACAGACAAAAAGATTCATCAAGGAAATAACTGGCAGATTAGTGGATAATGAAAAACACACACACACCAGCAGTTTAGCAAGTTGGAGTGATGGAAGCCTATCAGCCTGAAACCAACACATGCAAACACATACACACACACCTTCTAAACTGAGTCTCACACACGATAACCAACACTCAGAAACACTAACGACATATGGAGAACATGTCATTAAAAGAAATCAGCTTCACGTTTTCAGCAGCTCTGTTGAATCAAACATGTCACAGCTTTCAACACTTTATTGTGTATTTATATATGGACTTTATTGTTGTGAACTTTGGCCCAGAGCCTCAGTTACACAGACAGGAGCCACCAACACCACTGTGATGTAATACCTCAGCAACACAGCATGTAAACCCCTCCCTGACAAAAAGCAACTCCACTCTTCATTCATATGAAGAGGCTGTTACAGTGGAGAACACTGTAACTGAGACAATGAGTCCATGTATCTGGTGACAGAATAAACTGTGCTGCAACACCACAGCTGTACTGGCAGGAGTCTCAGCTGACTGTCGACAGAAGACCAACACAACAACATCACCAACAACAACAGTCCCTCTATCAGATAAACAAGTCCTAAAGGTCTGATCAGCGGTGTAGCAAAAAACTGCTGTCTTTGTGGAGACAGTGTCGCCATCTTTACCCACACTCCTGGCAGCCTTAAATGCAACACACAAAAACTGGTGAATGAGAAGCAAACGGAAATTTTACTTTGACAAAATCTGATTTAAAGGGTTTACTTTGCTGTCAAAGTTAATTATAATGGCTCAAACAAGTAGAACATGGCTCTAGAGGAGACTGTAGCTGCTCTTGCTGAGAAACTACCGGAGGCCCTCGCTCCATTCACTGTAGAAACTGACTCCGTTGGAATTTGTACTAGTAAATTAAACACAGCTCTGGCTAGCCTCTTGGACTCAGCTGCTCCTCTCACCACTAAAACCAGACAGTTAAAGAGGTCTACATTGTGGTTTACTAAGGAAACACGAGCCCTAAAGCAGGCCTACAGGAGATTGAAGCACAAATGGCAAAAATCAAAATCTGAAGCACTCTACTTTCAGTGTCACAAGTCAGTGTTAAAATACAAGTGTGCTCTCTCCACTGCTAGAGCAGCCTACTTCTCTCAGTTAATCAGTAACAATAAACACAATCATAGATTTCTTTTTGACACTGTAGCGAAACTCACTCAGCAGCAGCCATCTCTTCGCTGCTCGCCCTTTACAGCCCATGAATTTTTCAATAATAAAACAGATGAGATTAGACATAAAATCATCTCTTCTTCTCCAGCGTCTACAGAACCAGCAGAGCATTACATTGCATATAATGTAATGCTGATACACTGATACAGTGCATACATACACTGTTAACTTCTCCTTTAACAAATTTTGAGACTGTCTCTCAAAGCACTATCTAAGTTTGTGTTGCATTCTAAACCCACCACCTGTCTACTGGACCCTCTACCAGCTAAGCTCTCCAAAGACCTCTGGCCAATCTTGGGACCTTCAGTGCTGAACATTATTAATTTATCACTCACTTCTGGCACAGTTCCCAGTAGCTTTAAGACTGCTGTGGTTAAACCTTTACTTAAAAAAACACACCTTGATCCAGGATCCTTAAATAATTATCGACCAGAAAGAGCTGTGTCTCAGGAGCTTTTGTCTCATTTGTCTAATAACAATCTGTCTGAACCGTTCCAGTCTGCCTTCAGGGCCTGTCACTCCACTGAGACAGCGCTTACTAAAGTAGTAAATGATCTTCTGATCTTCATGGATTCGGACTCCACCTCTGTGCTCCTCTTACTGGATCTCAGTGCAGCTTTTGATACTATAGATCATTGTTTTCTCTTAGACTAACTTGAAAGCAAATTCGGTGTTTCTGGCCTGACCCTCGCCTGGTTAAAGTCCTACTTATCTGACAGAAACACAGTGCGTCTCCTTTAATAACACTATATCGACATACTCTGCTGTGAAACATGGAGTACCCCAGGGCTCTGTTCTTCGCCCTCTGCTTTCCTCTCTCTATATTTCACCTCTTGGTCAAATTATGCGCAGTCATGGAATTAATTTCCATTGTTATGGTGATAATACCCAGTAGTATGTATTTATAAAGGCTGATGATTCCTCTCAGATTATGAATTTAGAGGTCTGCTTGTCTGCTGTGAAAAGCTGGATGTCTCGTAACTTTCTGCTCCTAAATTCATACAAAACCGAGATGCTGGTCGTTGGCCCGACCCGACATAGACACCAGTTTGATCAATTAACATTGACTCTTGATAACTGTGTTATTTCTCATAGTCTGACAGTCAAAAATCTGGGTGTCACCTTTGATTCTTCCCTCTCCTTTGATCAGCACATTAAAGATATCACCAAGACTGCCTTTTTTCATCTACATAACACAGCTAGGATTCGGTCTTTTCTGTCTAAGACTGACACTGAAATCTTAATTCATGCTTTTGTTTCATCAAGACTTGATTATTGTAACGTGTTGTTTGCCTGGCCTGCCACGTACTCGTATTAAAAGCCTTCAAATGGTTCAGAATGCCGCAGCTAGAATTGTTACTAAATCCAGAAAATTTGACCATATTACACTGATTTTAACCTCCCTTCATTGGCTTCCTGTTCATCAGATCAGACTTTAAGGTGCTTTTGATGGCATATAAGGTTCTAAATGGACTTGCTCCTTCATACCTGTCTGATCTGCTTAAACCTCATCCTCCAGCTCATGCTCACCATTCCCAGAATTTAGGGCTCCTGTCTGTTCCCAGAGTTAAAAATACGTCTGCTGGCTGCAGAGCCTTTTATTATTGTGCCCCTCTGCTCTGGAACAATCTCCCTGCTGATATCAGACTGTCTGACTCCATTCAGACTTTCAAATCTAAACTAAAAGAATAGGAAGCTAACTGAAAGTTAAGGCATAAAAATATGTTTTAATTTTCATGCCTTAACTTTCAGTTAGCTTCCTATTCTTTTACAAACTCAGGCCTTGCACCTGTTGCCATCCTACCACCGGCGGGTGGGCCTCAGTCTCAATAAATTAAAAAACTCAGTATAGTATAGTCCAGGTTGTTCTCCCGAAGAGATTAATGTAAACTTTCTAAATATCACTGCATCATTCTAACCGTTTGCTTTTTCCCTCAAGCACATGAAGCGCCCAGGCTGTGTGCCTCTCTCTCTCTCCCCTCTCCTTCCTGTTACTCTCCGCAGGTCCCCCACCCGCCTCCAGAGCTGTAGAGTCTGGACCTGCAACTGTAAACCAACTACTGCCCCCATGATCCTGTTTAACACCTGCTGCTAAACCTGCTAAAATTTACTATAATTAACTTTGATTATTATTAATGTTATTAGCTGTCATTACTATTTTTATCAGTAGGAGCACTATAGTTGCCACTACATTAGTATCGCTGTTATTGCCGCTACTGTCACTATAATTAATATTGCTATCACTGTACGTTCTTGTTCTTTTCCTCTGTGCTCTCTCCTGCTCTCTCTCTCTCCAACCCAACCAGTCGAGGCGGATGGCCGCCCACCCTGAGTCCGGTTCTGCTCGAGATTTCTGCCTCTTAAAAGGAAGTTTTTCCTTGCCTAGTGCTTGCTCTTGGTGGGAATTGTTGGGTCTCTGTAAATAGTTTTATAAAGAGAAGGTCTGGACCTGCTCTATTTGGGAAGTGCCTTGAGATAACTTATGTTGTGAATTGGCGCTATACAAATAAAAATTGACTTGACTTGACTGTATGTTGTTCATGTAACAAATTGGGGTTTGTTTGGGAATAAAAACTACAGTATATGAACAGTAATTTCACTTTGACTGCTTCAGAGCAGGGCAGCAGTGCACAGGAAGCTTAAACCAGATTCTGATGATTTTCACTCATTCACACAGGAAGCCAATCACCCTTAAATGATAGCAGCTCAGCGAGAGAGGCTAGGAAGACCCTGTCAACAAGTCTGACACCTTCATGCTGCTGTAGCCCTTTGCTCTGGTGTTGTATAGTACAACTGGCTCTGAAGGAGACCTTGGTCCATTCATTAGAATCTGGGAGTTTATTTGTAATGAGTTTAGATTCAAGGATTTACTGTCTTTCACCGTGCGCTGTTTATCTTGCTGTGATTTGTGGTTTACATCAGAATGTATGTACCACTCAATATAATCTGGATGTTTGAGCTACATGATGTTGGAGGGATATTTTTGGTCAACAACATTCCTGAGATGAGTTCCGCTGGAGGACTGTGGGGTAGCAATAAGACACCAGAGAGGAAAAAGGTCCTACCTGCTAACTCGTCCGGTTCCAGTCCAGTTTCTGTGTCTATCCCACAAATAACAAAATAGTGGGCGAAGCGGCAGGGCGCCGCGCCGGACACCGCGGAGCTGCCACTCATCCCGGCTTCGTGTGCAGCGCTGTCCGCTCCTACTTGTTCAAGCAACACATCTCCAGGGAAAAACTGGGAAACTGGATTGAATTCTCGACTCAGAGAAACGGCGTCGATTCTCGGCGGGAAAAAGAAAATGCTTCGTGGTAAATCAAAGTTGTTTTTCAAAGCTGTTCCGGTGAGACTTGGCTTTTCGCGGACCGGAGCTTCCCGACACACGACTGACTAAGCTGTAGGAAAGACAGCGCTGAATCCCCGCCTCTGTGCAGCTCAGAGAAGCCGCCTGGATGGGCGGGATATTCAAATCCAGGGTCCTCTATTCAGTCTAATCAGTGTGCTGACACCGAGGAGCAGATGCCTTTTGTGTTTGTAATAATACAGTATAACAAATGTTAATTTTCCTCCCTAAGTGGCCGACTGAACGAGACACGTGTTTGGAAACGTAATTAAAGCGGTTGCAGCCACAGTGAACACGTCTACAAAGGTGCAAATTATTAAGGCCGATGTTGTCTCGACTTCTGTTTACCCTGTGTTACCCAGAAACCTAACTCCACAACACTATGAGGTGGGCACAGACTTGAACCCAAGCTTTCTATAATTCTTAAAAATAAATAAACAATTATTGACCTGTGGTCTTCTGAGATCTTTGCTCTGAGGCCTCTTTCACATCAGCTGATGTTTCTCTAAATGGTTGAGTGTTTATAAGTCAAAGTGTATCTAACGCACATCTCTGATCTGTCTTCACTGACTGACTCCAGTATTAGCTTCTGTTCATGTCTAGAGTGGAGAGCTTCACACAGTTTCCATCACTGTGAATGTTTGTATGATGTTTTCTATATAGAAAAAAACATGGCATTGATTTCTGTTTTATTAGTTAATACAGATTGTGTTTATAATTGTAACTTTGACGAAAATCTGACCATATTTGAAGACCAATTTATAAATAAACAATCACCAATCAGGGAGAAAGTCATCCATTCATTTATATTTCTTTTTTCATTCAAGGTGAAAAGTCAGTGTTGGCTTTTATGATATTTGATCAGTTTTAGGGTGTCTTCAACCATAAAACACACATCTTACATATTTTGATCTATTAATTTATGCATAGCCCTAAAAGATTTACAAAATACAAAGCCACCCATAGATTTGCACTTTAAAGGAAACATTGAGGTAATTTAGAGGTACTTATTCAGGGATGATTTTTCATGGTATTTGGTCCATTTTAAGGAGTTTTTACCATTTAATCCACATAAAATGCATACTGTGGGTTGTGTGTGTGTGTGTGTGTGTGGGGGGGGGTAGCTCACCTTGAAGAGCATATACCACGGCAGTGGTGTTGGTTTGAATCCAGCCCAGGCCCTTCTCTCAATGTCGCTATCTCATTAAAGGCAAAAAGTGCCCAAAAAATATAGATAAATGAAAAACAACACAACACATTCTGATATTTGCTGTCTCTGTGTATTATGGTTCTTAACATGTTTCACTGGAACATGATGTACACTTTGAGGATATTTTGAAAAGGATGAAATCAGGTTTAGTGGCCCCCCAAAACAGGTTTCCTGTCATAGTCAACCAAAACTTTACCAAACTGTGGATGAATTCCATATCATTCTATAAATAATTACTATATTTACTTTGTTTCATCATCATATATTACAGCCATTACAACAGTATCCATCAGATGTTTTGATACTAGATGGCCAACTGCTGAAAAAGACTGATGAATTGAGCAAATATTGACAGGCGAGGTTTCTGCAATGACAGCTGTTTAAATGTTTCAGACCATTTCAGGTACATGGAGACACTACTTTCCAGCTGCCAATTTCATATGATCCATGGTGAAAGCAGCAACAGAACTAGAGTCACTTCTGTTTCTGATTAGACGACAAAATCTGACCAATCACAATGAACTATGTCGTTTAATACAAGCACAAGGGAGTATAATTTAAAATGGAGAGCAACTTTAAGTGCAATCTATATTGCAATGTCTCCATCTAGTGGTGAAAAAGAACAACACATGAACCAAACAGATAGGAAGTCATTGAAGTTTTTTTTAATGACATTTCCTCACAGCTGAGTACAAAAACAAACATTTAAAAGTGGTGAAGGATATGATTATATACTGTGCATCTATCTGTAGTTCTTTTTTTTTATATAAAAAGGACAGAAATGGTTTAAAATATCTGACATATTTCAATTTCTGTATTCAGAGGAAAAACATTTAATTATATGAATTTTTTTCAATTTGGAGGTAGCTGTTCAAAAGAACAGTTGACAATGACAACACCAACGGCGCGCACGCACGCACGCACGCACGCACGCACGCACGCACGCACACACACACACAGGTATGACAGACTGTCAATGTACTATACAGAAATGCTTTGGAAGATTAAAGACAGAAACAGTGAAACAGTTACAACAATAAACTGTCCTTTGGAACATGAGTCGTAGGAACTGGCACTTTGTTCTCATTGAAAGGATCTTCGAGGGGATCTATACCACTTCCTCTCCCTGACAGAACCTGTTATGAAAAAGAGCAGAGAACAACACGGAAAAGATTGCATCTGTATCTCAAAAAACTGAAAGTATTTAATCGTACAGTGCATTAGGTGGCTATGAAAGAATTATTATTATGCTTGGAGCAAACCATGTAAAGTATCACCTTCCATTGGCCTTGCCTCTCTTGGCATCTCTGACCACTTGCTACCTTCACTCATGAAGTATCCTATGATAACAATGAGTGTTGGGAAAATTTGCTCAGATTAGACACATTCGTTTTTATTTGCCTATCAAAAAACAAATGCTCAGAAGAAAGAAACATTTTAAAGATTTCAAAAGAACACACTTTGTTCCCTTATGATGTCTCGATTTCTCGCCTTTGTCAACTCTCTGGCTTCAAACTTGGACCTCTTCAGCAGGGGAGCTGCAGACTCGAGGGAGTTGTGCCTCTGTGTGGGAGCCTTCTCGCAGTGACTAGGTCCTGGCCTCAGTTTCCTCCTTGATTCATAATTTGTGGTTCTCAAAGCCTCCTCTGTCCCCATGCTAGTTTTTCTGTCCCTCCTGATGGCGACATAGCTCTTCTTCCAGTCTTTTCTCACTTGTTCCCATGCTGATGATTGCACAGGTGCAGAGGATAATGGGCCTTTGGTAGTTATGCTAGGATGATCTGATGTTGAGGGGTTGCTATAAGAGTGACAACACTTTAGTTTGGATGAAGACAAATGTCTTGGAACTGATGTGCTCTGCATAGTTTTAGAAGGACTAGAAAAGGTACTGGTTTCTCCAGACTGTGACAACTCTGAGCTTCGCCTGGCTTCAGGAATTTGTCCACTTGTGGAATTTAAGCTATCGGTGGAGGTGGATGGGCCTTCCAGGCAAGGTAACGACAGTTGTCTTGAAACCAGTCCGGGTTTTGTCACGTTGGCTTGAACCTTATTCTTTGTTCCACAGTGTCTATTTGCAGGTTTTGGTTTGGGCACAAGTTTTTCTTGTTCATCTCTTTGTGAACGCTTTGTATTCTTTTCACAGGGGTCCATCTTTTTTCTGGCTGCTGTGGGGGTCTTTGGAGACCTTTGGCAGTCTTTGGTGTTCGGAGTTTCAGCTTTACCCTGCCTGTGGACTTCTTTTGAAAGTTTCAAGTAATTGCAGGTTTGATACGACTTCTTAACTAAAAGGCGATGAATCACAGGATTTGGGCTTAAGGTGGAGTCTGCCTCCTTGTGCACAGACTGGAGCTGCTTCTCTGGTGAGTCATCAGATGAAAATACAGTCTTTTGAAGCTTGTTGTTGGCAACTCCACAAAGACTGTTCACAGATTCACTTAAATGTCTTTTTTGTATAGCAAATAAGGTATCACCACTGTCTTTTGCAACTGATGAGAGTGTTTTCTCTCTCAATTCCTCCTTTTTGCTGATCTGATTGTCTTTTTTGACCACTTTGTCAGAATCATGGAGAACTTTTCTTCTTTTTGAGGTCGTTTGTCTGTTGGACTTCTGTTGACCATACTCAGAGTCACCCTTAGCCTCCATCCGATGTCCACCCTTTTTTATACTGAGGGACAGGTCAGAGGATGTATTGTGCATCACTTCTTTCAACTGTGCACCATTAAGTTTAGACTGGTACTGCGGTACTGATGAGTCTGCAGAAGACAATCTCACTTCTTGGAGCTTTTCTTCAGCAGTTCCACAATCGCTGTCCACAGTCTCCGGTGAAGGTCTCATTTGTTGAATTAATTGCACACTGTCACTGTCCCATAAACCTGAAGGGAATAATCTCCCTCTGCTTGCCTTATTGTAGTTTTTGTCACTATCATCGTCTGTGTCAGAATCAAGGATTATTACATCTTTTGAAGATTTTTTTTCATGTAGAACATACTCAGAGTCAGTTTTGGTTTCAATCAGCTGCCCACTTGTTTCTGTGCTGTGTGACAAGTCAGAGTCTGCATCATGTACCACTTCGTCATTAAGTTTAAGCTGGCGCTGTGGTGCTGGTGAGGCTGCAGATGGCAGTCTGTTTTTTTTAAACACTAATCTCTTCCCTTTTGCCTCCATTTCACAGTGTTGGTCACTTTCATCCTCCGTTTCAGAATCAATAATTATTATGTTTTCCTTTTTTGAAATCTGTATGTTGGTCTTGGGTTTGACATGCTGTGAGTCAGCTTGGGCTACTATTAGCTCTGTAGGTTTTTGCATACAGCCCAACTTGCTAGAGCTGCTGGTTTGACCTTTTTGCACATTTGTAGCCTCATCAAGTTCACTCTCTTTTTCAGACTTGGTATCATTGGTCTCTGGAGGCAGATGTGCGGACCTCTTTTTTAACAAATGGTCAGACACTGTCATGTAGTTTTGTTCTGATGCAGATGAGTAATCACAACTGTCTTCCGTTTCCCAGCTGTCTTCGGACTCAGAGCTGGACTCTCTCCTGTTCTGAGGTGTATGTTGTTCTTGCTCAGAGTCCAGTTCATGTTCAGGTGTGCTCCTGCCTAATGCTAACAAAACTGTCCCATACTGTACAGCTTTTGCCCTTAGAAAGCTCTTAATTGTGTCAAAAACCTCCAGTTTGTAAGACGCAGAAGCTCGTACTGGTTTTGGAACTGGACAATATAACTCACAGTGTGTTGCATTTGTGTCACTGTGCCTGTCTTTGTCTCTAGTTTCATCATCATCTAGGACAACGTTTTCAGTGATATCCTGGGCTTCTTCCTCTGGTTCAAATTTAATGTCTGACATGCTTATAGGTATAACTATATAGTCATCATCCATCTCATTGTCAGTCCCATCTCCATCTTTCAAAACAGAGGAAGTACTATATGAAAAAGAGTGGTATGTTTCCCATCTCAGACATCTCTCACCGTCACATTTCGGACATAATAGATAATCAGTGTCACCAAAATATGCACAAGAGCATTGTTGTGGTACATCCAGTGTTCCCGTCTTTGGTAAAATCTGCTTCTTTGCAATCAGTCTCTCATCTGAAATGTTTTCTGTCTCTATCTGAGCTTGACCCCGAACACATCCATAGTCTTCATTTTCAAATGGTGACTGCTTATTGTCAGTTTCAGGTATTTGTACTTGTGTAAGTGAAGGTGTTTCCACAGCCAAACTCACAATCTGTTGATTATCATCTTCACTTATATCTTCATACTGGCGCTCTTCAAAACATGGTGGGAAGTTTAATTGCTCATGCTCTGTGTTTGGGAGGTTGGTCAACAGCTGTGACATGTCTTCATCATCTGAAATGTCTTCATATTGTGGATCTTTCAAAATTTCCACAGAGTCTGCTTCCTCACTCTTGCTTTCAGGTAATAGGTGCGGCTCTTGGAGTTGTGAACGTACAGATCCTGGATCCTCCATCACACCTCCATGGCTTGTTTGTTTCCACAGCCATTCACTTTGGCCTGTAGGAACTGATATTACATTATGGATCTGAATTTGATCAACTGATGAATTTAGCTTGGAATGTCTAATTACTTTCTGACAGGTAATATGACAATGTTGAGCTTCAGAGTTTTTGTTTTTGTCTGTATATGTGTCTTGATTTTCATTGAGTGATGTGAGTACAAGTGTTTCAAATCCAGTTACCACTGAACTTGACTTGGTTTGAAGATCCTCAGAGACGGTCACACCTCGCACATTGTCCAACCCTACTGCCTCCATTGGTTTTAGATCTGTATCTCCTTTGTCCTTCTCTGTCGTGTGCAAATCCTTGTTAATATTCAACCAAAGAGACTTTTCCTCTTCTTTTGACAAGCTGCTGTTGAGCAATAAGCTAGGGTCCTTCTCAGTCAGCCCATCCAAAGTCATTTCCGACATTGTCAGAACCAATGGACTTTTATCTTCACTCTTTGTGCAGGTGGCAGCAACTTTCGCCATAATCTGTGGATATTCTGTGGATGTAAAGAGATGAACGTTATCTATATCCCCATTCCAATACTGTTGCAGTATGACCTTGGAAAAGTTGTCCATCTTTGTAAAGGTCTCTACTTCCTCCAGACTAGCAACCAGCTCCTTCAGTGCAGTTAACGAATAATGAAGAGTGGTCATGCCATTCTGTAAGTACTTATCACACAATTTACTCTGGAAACTTTCATCATTGCTACCAACAAATGTTTTATGTTCACAGTAAACACGTTTCCCATCACCATTTGTAGGCATAATTACATCCAAGTGTATTTTTACTGGATAATTAAAATCTACAGATACACTGTTATCAACAGATTCATTTTTAGGAGCATGTTTTAAGTTTCTTATGGGAGAGACAATAGTACCTGTTGAAAAGTTCTCTGAAGCAACTGTAGAACAATCACCTTTGTCTTTGGATTTGGCAGGTAACTCAGCATTTGCTTTGCTGCCCTTTGAACTGTTCTCTTGAATTGCTGATCCACAGCTGACACTGAGTCTCTCTTCTTTGTTGGAGGTAGAGGTTATGGGGTGGTGGGACTGGTCAACATTGTTGGATTTTGGTGTGTTGCGGTCAGACTGGAGAATGGAGGCGCTGTTATTAATGTGAAAACTCTTGTGTCCATCTTTTCCTTCTTCCCGAGGTGAAACTGTTATAAAATATTTTAGCTTTTCTGTAATGAAGTCCTGTATTTGATCATCTGTAGGTGGTCCTGTTTTTCCAACTGGCAATAAGTTTTGAGTTGTAATCTGTCCAAAGTTTAGAGCGTTTAGTGAACTTTTCACCTGCTGACTCTTGCAGGGCACTTCACTTGAAAAATGAGCACTAGTATTGAGTTCAACGTTGGCATTAGTTTGCCCTGACGAAGAAGACGGAGTGGCATACAAAAATTTTGAATCTCCACAATCTTTCAGTAAGGAATATAGCAGTGGGCAAGATTTCTGCAGTTTGTTATTAGGTAGAGAAGAACGATGAATTTGCAAAGGAAATGTCTGTGCTGTGACTCCAAGGGCATCTCCCTGATGTGCTGCAGAACTGGTACCAGCTGAAAAGGCACTGTTTAAATGTTGTATTTGCTGCAGATTAGTATTATTGTTCAAATTCGAACCATTCAGGAAATGTCTACTAAAATTTTGCTTTGAACATTCCCTTCGTTGTCCACTATTATCACCAGACTGTCTCACTGAGTATTCCTTATCAGATGTCTCAAAATAACTGCTGCATTGTGCAGCGGCATGTGGTAATGAATTAAAGTCAGGACCACTGTTCAGAACAGTACATGCAATGTCCGTGGAATTTGGGTGCTGGAATCTAGTGCTTGCTATGCTTCCTTGTGACTTCTGTTGGTGTTGGAGTCCCTGGAAATTTTGACGTGGTTGTGCGTTGTCTTGCTGCCTCTGAGCTGAAACCACTCTGACCCCCTCAGGATATTGAGAGGCTACCATGTTGATTTGCATTCCATTGTCAGGGTGGCCCACTGGTGCAGGTTTAACATTGTTGTCCTGATGTGATGTAATAGCATAAGCATTACTCTTGTGTTGGAATGCAGGGGAGGCTCCTCCTTGGCTGTGTGGACATCCAGCGTGCATTGCATGGAGAGCAATCTTTCAAGTGACGACTTCAGTCAAGGATTTCTAAGGTCTAGGAGACAAAAAAGAAAATATTAGAAACTGGAAAGTCAAGGTTTCCTCGCCACTTAAGCTAATGCATCCGTGATCTGAGCGAGTGGCTGGTTCACATTCAATATGTCATGTATGCCTTCTCCACTACAGGCACCTAATCACCTGTGAATAAAAAGGAGGCTACAACCAATATTTTACAATAACAATGTATCCAGTGACAATGTATTTTTCACAATATTGAAAAAAATGTTTTTTTCTTCTTGCAGTTATGCACAGTCTGCCCTGCGGCCGAGTCTGACCCTCATTTCACTGCTTTGCTTACTGTACATTGTACCTTGCTATGTGACAAACAAAACTTTAATGGCAGCATAGCTCATACATGAAACATAAAATACAATAATATAAATAATTATTAAAAAAGAAAATACAAAAAAATACAAAAAAAACCAAAAGAAAAACACACATACACAACTGAAACATAAAAATACAACATCATTGTTGTTTGTGATAATACGCCACTGTTGCATTCCCTCCCCCCCGAGAGTACCTGGAACTAGGATGTAGTATATTTAGATTTTTTGTAAAACACCACGATTAATATTAATTAAGCTGTGCTTCACTATCATGTATGTAAATGTAAACTGTACATTGTATGTACTGTGGTCATTTAATTATGTTGATCATTATAAAATCACATTTGGTAACAGTTTCACCATATGCCATTTCCAGTTGAGCATTATTTTCCTCTAAATTGTGGAGTATCACAACCAAACACTAAATTGCTATATTTAATTTTTTCTTGAAGAAAAAAACAATCTCAGAAGTGACTGTTCTAGCTGGCAGTAGGTTCGCTACCAGATTCTTCAGTCACCTCTCCATCATCACATTAAAGAACAAATAAAGCAGCCGCCTATGTTTTCTGACAGTACGGGGCAAAGACAATGCAGGGCCAACAGCCGAATTGTCCCAACCGACAAAAGCTCTACCGAGAGCTAGTCAGTGGTGTGTGAGGGATTGCTGTCCCACAGCTGTGTTAGCTACTCCATGTCTTTTTGCAAACACATAACATCCCTTCAATGAAAACAGCAGTTGGACAATCAGGTTGTAGACAAACAAAGAAAAGTTTAGCCAGATTATCTCAACAACTTAATTTGAAGGTAAACCTTAAGGTGAGCACACCCACAATGCTCACCTTGCTCATCTCAATTGTGTTGCACAGGAAAACTGAATGCACTCAGTGAAGCAAGTTTGTTAAGTCAATGGGTAACCAGGAACTTGGAATCATTTTACTGTTTGATGTCATCTTCAGATAGTTTTGGTTAATCTGTAGGTTTAAAATCTGTTTGACTATCCAACTGTCCTTTGTAAAATCTTTTAAGGTTGCACATTATATGCGTGAAAACCTGCAGCCATTGTTTTCCACGTAAGCCCACACATTGGTGGCATCTTGATTAGGGCTGCTTCACATGTTTGTGACTGATGTCACTGTGTGCCATAATAATCATAAAATAACACAGGTAAAGCAAGACTTATAATGAAGCTGATTTTATCTTTATCTTATCCATACACTTATTGATCCAGCTCAGACTATTACTGGTTCTTTTTTTGTCTTTAAAAAAAAAATAATAAAAAAAAATACATTCACAACAAATTTGAATTGATTGTTCCAATTTGTCTCAACCAGTTGATCAGTTTACAACAATCTGCCACATTTTAAGATTTGTGGTAAACTACGATAATCAGTTAGTCTTGCATACAGACAGCTTTTGTTGTAGCATTTTCTAACAGTTCGCTATTAGCTTAACAAGCGCGATGTTAACATATAAAAAGACACCGGGAGTCGGTGGAAGAAACAGATAAAAATATCTCGTTTGTTTCTTGTTGAACAGGTGGTTGGCTGAAGTTCTTATTGGCCTTTTACTTTTTATTGCAGTTACAGTAACGAAAAGTTCAGTGATAGTTGTCTTTAACTCCAGTAATCTTCAATTATCTTTACTTCACTTGGCTCTGTGTCTGGCGCAGCTTCTGCTGTGCTGTTCACTCCATGTGTGAATGTGTGTGTGCACACTGTGTACCTGCAGCCCTGCCTCTCCCAGAAAGCAGAGAGGGCAGGCCAGAGGACAGAGAAGCAATGTGACCATAGATGATTTAGAAAATAAATATATGGCAGTTAATAGTGACTGGTCGCATCAAACAAATCAATGTATGTATGGCAACAAATCGCATCAGCCCTAATCTTGCTGCAATAGCTCATATCAGCTTGTCAGGTTGTGCTATCACCAAACAGCCAAAATGCTTTCTGACATTACTTGTCAGATGGTTTATGTCATTACATTACATTCATTGGGCAGATTCATGGGTACAAATACAATATATACATTCCAATTCAAAAGGAAGAAGAGCTAAAACGTTGGATAAGACAGTGGCGGCAGACAGGAAACGGGGAATGAAATGCTGCAAAAAGTCAAACCCACCAACATATTTTCGGACTCTGCTCAGAAAATATGCAATAGCAAGTGCCTTAACCACTCAGCTATCTGGTAACATCAAGCATGTAAGGAGTTTTGATTATCAGGAAACCCTACAGCTTACACACTGCATGGCAACAAGTGTTATTTATGTAACATCAGAATATTCACACACATGAACACTGGCTACTGGATATCATCAAACACACCACAAGTCTTCAGTAATGGTGACTAAATTATTACTAAAACTCAGCACTTAAACTTTTGCCTGTTTTGTTCGTTATGTCGGAGGTTTCTTTTGATTTTCTGATAATTGACACAGTCTTAACTATCCAGTCCACGATCCTGCCACTTTCCATTTTTGATAGGATGATGACTGGTGAAATTTAGCACACTCCACAGGCAGGATAACTGTAAGCTTACTCCAAATTTCCTTTCAAATGTCAAACTGATAATTTTTAACATAAATAGTAAAACAAACTGTAAACTGGCTACGTGAGTTGGCAGTGTTTTAAAACGGTCGGTTTAACTACATTGTAAAACAGCCAATTCATATAGGCCTAATAATGTTTGTATTTATTTAGTTGTTTTAATATTGAAAACAACACAAATACAATACTCTCTAGTAGGCTTTGTGGTCACTCAAAGACAGTTGAAACATATCTTAACTAATTTACTTGCGGACCACTAGGGGTCGCTTCTGGACCAATTTGAGAAATGCTGGTCTACAGTGTGTACTCATTACAGCAGGAAAGGGAGCTGGAGCTGATTAATACCTGCGTCATTTAACCCAGGTGTGCCAATTGAACCTTCACTAACAAAAGCCAGATGTTAGCAGGTTGTAATGGGTTTTTTGACCAGTGGAAAAGGGGCTATAGTAGGGTGCCCAAGCCTTTGGTTCAATTGCTGCTAATCAGCCCACTGTCAACCGTTATACAGTTAGCCCCCTAACTGCAGCTGGTGACGGCAGACCTTGTTCTACTTTCCGGAATAGTGGCAAGTGAACAATCATCTGAAAGAAGCAAAGCAGCGGGAAGATACAAATCCTAATTTTCATTTGGGGAATTTAACAATAAAATCGGAACGGAAACAGGATGAAAGAGTGAGCTGCAGGCCTGAACTAAGTTTTAAAACTTTCTAAAAACTTTCAGAATTCTGATTTCAAGGGCAACTGGGAAAGACAGTCAGCAGAAGAAGCTGATGCAGTCAGAAACTGACAAAACAGGGCATTAAGCCCCTTTTACACTAGTCAAAAACCCACTTAGACCTGCTACCACTGGGCTTATGCCAGCAATGGAAAAGGGTGCAATCGGATGTAAACACAACACCCAAGTGAACACACAATTTTTTTCCTCTTTTCTTGCTGTAAAGCCTTTCAGACCACGAGACTGTAGACACACCGTCACCAGGGTTTTCCCGGCTAGGAGCTTACTCTCTCTCCACTTCGTCTGTATGTGTGCTCTCTAAGTGTATGCGATTACATCGCTCTTTGCAGTTATGTGTCCTCAGACTGAACAGAAAGGCAAATCGACTAGCAGTGGAGAAGGGGTCAATCAGCTTTTTTTAGCAGGTTTACCCATGTTCAAAAAACCTGCTTATACCCGTTAATTTTGGTGGAGAAAGTGTATTAGAGAGACTGGATGCATCACTTCATTTGGCCTGCAGAAACATGGCTTTTAAAAAGGTGACCCACCGGCGAGCTATTCGGTAAATATGACATTAAATGAGCATCTTCAGAAAGTGAGAAAGCACCAATAATGAGGGGAAAATTGCAGGCTCATCTCTCCACTGAATGTCAAAATCAATTTATTGATATACTGTATGTGATGCCATTAGAAGCCATTCTTAAGGAGAGGAGGGAGGCACCATATCATTTCATGATATGTGAGCTACGCCTCACATATCTCATAAAGAGAGAGAGTGGTAATGCTAAGACATGTTCACAAATCAGATGTTGGAAACTCAAGAGCAGATTATCAAATTCAATGATTTTGGGAAGAAGACAGGAAAAGAAACAGCAGAGATTTTGGGAAGCACAATGAAAGGCCATGACATTGCAAACAGTCGACAGACAGTACAATAATGGCTCCAATACCTCAGGGAAAGCAGAGGGGTGCATGCGCACATATTAAAACAAAATCCACTAGCAACTTTCTTTCCATGTGCATCACATACCCTAAACCTGGATGGGGCTATGGAAATTCAGTAATGTCCCTAAGTAGGTGTGTTTTTTGGTTTTATAAATCAGTTACACACACTATTCAGTGCAAGCCCGAACAATGGGATGCTTTACAGCAGAAGATGGAGTGCTCCCTGAACCATCTGTCAGATATGTGCTGGAGTGCATGCACAAATGAAGTGCATCTGGTTGCAGGCCTTTGCCCTGATTGTTTGATGTCTTCGACAGTTTGGTTTCCTCAGTGGCCTGAATGGGTCTATGACACTGGATTTGGAACTGGTTGTTAGAGACTCCATCTGTGTCAGTACAAGTCTAATGGTCAAGAGTTTATTTGAAATTGACCATGTTGGTATTAGAACTAAGGGTGGGTAGGTGGTGGTGCAAAATGGTTGACCTGACTTAAGGTCATAGCTCAAAATCTATAAATTTTAACTGGTATGCTATTAGGGCTGAGCGATAAAGCAATAGCAATATTTAATCACAAAATTATTTTCCCTGATTAAAAAATGTTCAATATAAATCGATTTCCATGGTTATAGCAAGCCCACAAATGAATCACGAACAGCCAATCATGTCGCAGGAATAGAGGTCTGCATTGCTAAAGTTAGGAGGCATGGTGAGAGGTATAAATGCAGTCAAGCACGTGATATTTACAGACGCACACATGTAACATTGTATCTTCATCCTCCGAACTGCATTCTACTTTTTCTGCGGTGCTGCTCATTTCGCCTTACTTGCTTACTCTGCTCCAACTTCAAGCACGTCAGTGACATGACAGGATCCACTAGAAAGAGGATGTTTCACTCTGCATGATTTAAGGATACACTCACACAACACAGTTCATTTGTGGTTGTTCAATGGTGTTACAGAGTTAAGTGAACTATATGAGTAAAGTATAAACTAATGTTTTTCACTTGTACTCCAGTTGCTCTGTAGACTAACTCAGTTCTTTAGTGTTGGCAATAAAGATTCAGTTCTTGTTTCTTGGAGTTTATTTCTGAAAATACAAACCCCACCAGCAACCTTCGTTATTTTAACTGGTGTTACTTTAACACCAACGCTCAGCACTGGCTAAAATGAGAAGCTTCAGCTAAATGTCTTCTATACTGATTTCCTAATTACTAGAGTCTGAACTTAGAAAACCAATGCAACTTTCCAACCTCAGTGTCTGAAATCACCAAAGACCAATTAATATGTAAAAAAACCCCACAAAAACATCCGTCTACAGCCTGCCATACTTCCAGCTACGCCCACTTCATGTTACATCATGATGCTGTGCCTCCCAGTCCAGTGTGAAGGGGGTTAAGCATAGCACAGCTATTATTAGCTGCTGTGCAGACTCGTGCTGACCGATTAATCTTATTTTATTAGCGACATGAGCATGTGCAATAAACACGTCACAAAAGATTGAAACGCAATGAATTAGAAAAAAATTATTGTATTTACACACACCATGCACACAGGGTTTTCAAGGCACAGCAAATGAGCCAAATAAACTGGAAAAAAGTTACCTGCAGCAGGAGGAAGACGATGAGTTGACCAATAGTGACCTATGTCTGTGTTCTTCATTCAACTTCACGCAGCAAAACTGTACATATGTCAATATTTATCACATCCTCATCGCAATATGTAACAGTGTCATCGCATATCGCAAATTTTCCTCATATCATTTAGACCTAGTGCAGACCCGCTGAACAAGTTTGAAATTTGCTGACCAAAGCATCTCACACAGAGGCTCTGACACTCTATCCCGACGTTTTATCTCCGTATCAGAAACGATCTCCATACATACTATCACACCTGAAAACGGATACATGACCAATCACATACACTGGGTATGTGCGAGTCTGTGTAAACAGGAAGCAGATTGTCCTCTCTGCAGGTGATTAATTGCAAAGAATACTGCGAACAAGGAACAGCAAAGGTAGTGGCAGTGTTAAAATGCAGAATTTAAATGCACAAGAGCTGCTAGCAAAGACAACAAAGTCAGTAACACTTGTATTTCACTATACATGTTGCTTTTACCACTTAGTTGAGGCCCGATAGGGAACCGACTGTGGGTGTCTACGTCATCATTTCCAAAGGTCTCTGTTTTCGCCCGTTCAGACTAAACGCAACCCTAGACTTTTCAAACTAAATGTTTTTGGTGCTCAAAAATATAACTTCAACATCATAACTGACATTTTCAATTAATGTGGTGTTTGTCTTAAGTGCCCACTAGATGGCAGTATTAGAACAAAAATGACAACCTGTTGAATTTTGAAAAGATTGGAGGAGGAAAGAAAGATTTTGGGTTCTGTAAGCCATTGATTTCAAAGTAAATCTGTTTGAGATCCTTTCTGATTAGTGGCGAGAGTGTTTTCCTGATAAATGCAACATTTCTGTTTTGAAAGCAAATGTGGCTGGAATAAAAACACACATATGTTCTGTTGTTCACCTTCTGGCCAGGAATGAGAGGATAGAGGATGTAGAGACAGAGCAGGTGAGCGGGGGCGGAGCACGAATGGAGCAGGGAGTAGAGCAAGGAGCGCACCTGAAACACTCAGATACTTTATACAAACAGATACTTGAACTTAATCAGATTTAACTCAAACCCACTCAAATTCGCAAATCACAATGTTGCATTGTCTTTCACAAGTTTCAGTGATTTAGTCAGGAGTTTAACTAATTCTTGATCCCCTATGCACAGATGGACTGTTCACTATACAGTTCAGCATGGCATGGCCGAATATGGGATGAGCAAGGGAGACTGTATTCAGGATCTCTTGAAAGACCATTAAATTGGCTGACATACAAAGTAGAGGTGGGAAGAAAAAAAAAAGAAAAACCGATATTGCGCTATTTTGCGTAGCAATATCGTATCCATCTTTTATTATAAAAAATTGCAAATACGAATTTAACTAGAATAATTAAAAAAAAAAAAAAAAAAAAACAATTCTGGCAAGGTCAGCAGGGGTTAGGTAGCATCCAGGAGGCAACATGTAGGCATCAGAGAACAAAATCAGAAAAACCATCTGCATTTAAATCAAATTAGTGGGTTTATTTTGGATTTATTAAACATAGAGGGGACAAAGGAGATGGATATGACACATCTCAGTTGTATAGCAGTTGCTGTTATCACCAATTCACAACTTGTTAAGACAGTAATACAGCTAAAGATTTGCTCTAACTTTTCATCTCAGTCCCACCAGTGTGTTTGTCATTTCCAAAATTAGACAAGTAGTTAAATCTGGATACATTAGCTCTCTCTGCAAACAAAACAACGATACAGCCAAAAAAAGCACTCCAAAAGCGTGTTTCATCGTATCCATATCTCAAACGTTCAGCCAATCGATGCTGGTCAGGTTAGTCCTCTTTTAAAAAATAAAATGAAATAAAATAAAAAATAATAAATTACTTAATATAAAGATATATTAACGCAAAGGGCATTTTAAGTACTCGACTACAGCAACATGCGGATCATTTTTTTTAAACTGTGTATTACCATACACCACTCATAGTTGTGTGTGCACTGAAGTTGGAGTCGCCCAGCTGCCGCTGATTAACCACAGACGAGGAGAGGCTGTATGCTAGCGCCTCCAGATAGTTCAGTCTTTGTCAACTGGTCTGGGGATAATCTGTTTTATTGATCATAATTAGTCGAGACCCAGTTTTTGTCTTATCAGTTATTCATACCGATTACAAATGCATTTTGTTAGAGGGGCGAGACGAGCAAATACAACAAGTAGCAGTTATGTTACTTTCATTTCGGACGTCAGTTCTGAAATGCATACCATGTTTACTCCATGAGCAGCCAGCACAAGACAGGAGGAAATTAAGATAATATCTCATGTAAACGAAACTGAGACTGCGTCACAGACAGAGCTCTTTGGAGTCAACTTCCTTCTTTCCTGGTGTTTCACGGTTAGTTACATTTAAATAACAGTTAATTAAAAACACGCAAATGTATACGCTCCCTCTTATCACTCATTGTTACTTACCGAATCTCCACATTTCACGTTCGCGTATTTAACGTATTCAAGCGTTTCCTCAAAGCTGTTGTTAAGGTCCTCTCATAATTTTCTACGTGACTTTTCAGGGCGTAAAACTTCACTCCAGACGACTGAAAGAAATTCGATCGGAGTGGCCGTTGTCCGTTAACGTTAGGAGTGGCAGTAATCCGTTATCGTCCGTGTGTGTCCAAAGCAGAAAAAAATGGGGATGGATTTCCTCAACGGTACTCCCACTGAATTTGTAGTCCCAATGCTCTGAGCTCCACAAGATGCAGCTGAAAGGAAGCTTCAAGGTTCAGTGAAGAGAGGGGTGGGCTTACTGGACCGATTATATGACGTTCAGCGTGAGTTCTGATTGGTTAGGTTTTTTGGGGGGGTTTCTGTTTTTTGGAAGGGGTGTTTACCATTGTAAAAGGCGCAGGAAGGCAAAACCCAAATGAAGTGAGTAAATTCCATGCATCTATTATAAGACTTCGCCAACAATACACCCATGGTAGTATCTAACAAAAGAGCTGCAAACTCTTTTCAGCGCTTAGTTTGGTCCATTAGTGGTGGGAACTCAGGCTGTTAAGTGTGAGTCTGATCATCTGGCTCAGCTCAGCCCAACAGCTCTTCCTTTAGTTCCACTTTTGGCTTCTATAATTCAGCCAAATTTAGCAATGTTTTGACGTTTGATTTCTGTAATGTAATTATACTAAATGTTATCATTTCCAGAATACCACAATTTTCCATCATGTTTGGTATAAAAACAGTCAGAATAGGATGTATCTCCTATTATTCTGTCTTGTATTAATTAAGAAGAACTCCGCTCTCAGAAGAGAGAACAATTATGTCACAAGCCTTTTTGGTTTGTGATGTATCTGTTCTCCCTGTCTGCATGTGGATGGCCACAATACATGGAAAAAGCTAAATTAAAAAAAATATGTATATGACATGTTCACATAAAAAACGAATAAACTAGCATTTCAACAGTCTCACACAGAGAAGAATTTCCCTCACAGTTTTAGAGCCTGGAGTGCTGCCAATTTAGTGCATTGTCACTAGATTTAGAGACACCTCTTGTTACAGGCAGTCTACCGAGCCGCTCTGGTTTCCCGGCTGCACAGGAACTGCAGGGAAGTGGTGGAGCGCTTCCAATACACTGTGCATTGCCTTCATAACAGCAACATGTATTCAATAATATTTCTTGACATATGCACTCATGATTATATTTATGCAGCATATTCTAATGTAATGTTGAAGTTGATTCATTCTGGTATCTAAACTTTGAGGTAATAGAGGATTTTTTTACCTGAATTCCAGCTTCAGGTTTTTTGCTTCTATTTGCAAGTGCGCCAGATCAGATAATGGGAGTGCTGCATTGAAACTGTCTTGATATGATATGGATTAACGATTTCATGTAATCTTGTGAGGGGATTGTCCAGGGCCTGGGGTGGTGGCAAAAAGTCATATCTAAATTGTAATCATCTATCTACATCTTATGCACTCATGTATTAAGTATTTCAGTATATACTCATGTATTTTTGTCAACATCTGTGGAAAACATTAGTAGGAATGTGACTGAGAATGAAATGAGCTGATGACCTGAACTCATGTCAACATGACGGGGACAAGAGTTCTGGGAGAGGGGCCAGAATTTTGCAAAACAGAGTTACTGGAAAGGGAGATTGGTTTCTCAAAACTTAGTGCATAATTGTATTCACAAGGGATGTGAGGCTGTTTGGTACTGCTCCATAAAAGGTAGGATTGAAGGAGTTGGTTTTTGCCGCTATCTGCAGATATTTCGTCTGCCACCAAGCACTTGGGTTCAAATAAAATATACTCTGAACTAGCAAGACTGTCTCAAGAATAATCTTTCAGCTACAACATAATCTACTTTCATTATATGTATCATTATTACTAAAGGAGGCAGAGGAATAACTAAACATAAGACAAACCGAGCAGAGAAAGCAGGAGAGAGAGAAGTCATCGCTAACTGCTAAAGAAGCTAGCAGATCTGAATAGCATGTAAACAAGAGAAACACCAGGAACAGGAAATAAGACAATACACTTACTGCACCACAGCAATAAAAGACCTATTAAGAAATAAAGGGTTTGTGTCCTCTGAAACGCTAGAGGGCTTTTAATTTGAAATGGTTACAAGTGCTTGTATTTAGATGTCATGACATGGGAGTGATGATAATAATGATAGAAAGAACATTTTGTGAGATACAACTTTATTTGAGTGGTCTGAGGCCCAGTCGTATACATATTTTTTTAAATTTAGCTTTTTCCATGCATTGTGGCCATCCACATGCAGACAGGGAGAACAGATATATCACAAGCCAAAAAGGCTTGTGACATAATTGTTCTCTCTTCTGAGAGTGGAGTTCTTCTTAATTAATACAAGACAGAATAATAGGATGAGACACATCCTATTCTGACTGATTTTATACCAAACATGATGGAAAATTGTGGTATTCTGGAAATGATAACATTTAGTATAATTACATTACAGAAATCAAACGTCAAAACATTGCTAAATTTGGCTGAATTATAGAAGCCAAAAGTGGAACTAAAGGAAGAGCTGTTTGGCTGAGCTAAGCCAGATGATCAGGCTTACACTTAACAGCCTGAGTTCCCACTACTAATGGACCAAACCAAGCACGGAAAAGAGTTTGCAGCTCAGTACATGTCGGCACATGAGACTGGGCTTAAGGCTGATTTCAGTTTCTTTGATTTATACACTGTGTTCTCTCTGAACAGACATTTCTCACTGTCTAAAGGCCAAAATCCAGATGGGAGAAGCTCTTTGTTCGAAAACAAAACAGTGAGTCTGCAGCCATGCCAACAGCCATCTGAAAGTTGTACTTAGACACAGAAGTGCTTTGAGCTAAATGATAATATAGCCGTGCTAACATGCTCACAATGCTGGACTACCGCTTAGTTTAATATGTTGAGATATTTGTGGCGGAACCATAAATGTCAACACCTCTAAACTTAAGTGCTGATGAAAAGTCAGGGATCACCAATGTCGGGAACATGAATGGACAAACTATTTATCTGACTTTCTTCAGTACATTTAAGTTTGGACTAAAGTAGCAGACAGGCTGACAATGCCATCTCTAGAGCCATGAGTGGCTAAACCCAACTGCATACATCAAGCATTACAGAAATAAACCAACACCCTAATCTCTGTACATTACATGTTCCTTTACAGCTGCTTGTTTCACTTCCCTTTATCCAACCTAGCTCATGTTGTTCTGTTTCTGTCTGAATGCTCCTCAATCAAAAGCTCAATTTTCTCTTTGGACTCCTGCAAACAGCAGGTCACACCATGCTCTCCTCTCCTCGCAGTACCAGGAGGACGAGGGATCCACTCAGTCCTAGACTCAACACAACACGTAGACAACTAACATGAAGCAGTAAGGAGCAAGAGAGAGAACGGACAGGAAGGTGAGTTGAAAACAGGTAATTGTGTACTTTTGCTTTGCAGTTTTAAAACACCAAAGATGATTTGCCTAAATGGAAAAGGTATCTGAAACAATAACGAGTCGTTAGATAAAAGTCTAGTTTTTTCAACAGTGTTTTTATTGCTTCTCATTTGTACAGAAGTGTTTTGGTTTTAATTACCAGAACTGAGTTAGAGGCAAACATGTTTCACAAGCTATACTCAATTTGAAAGTAGATGGTAAAATGAGAAAATGACATGAAGCAGTTACAGAGAAGATGAATAAGTGTATGTCTCTATGTATAAAAAACAGAACTACAAACACACCGTTCTTGGTGCTGATCTTGAGTTGATTATACGATCTGTGTGACTGGGCACTGCTCAGGCTGATCCAGGAACAACGTCTGGAACATGTGATTGTAGAAGGATGGGTGGTACAGGCAGGCCCGAGTGCAGTCTGGGCTGAAGTTCACCTCCAAGATCTGAGGCTGCATGAGCCGCTCACCTGACCGGGAGTCAGAACACACACCGATTAGAAATGGTCCGGTTGATTATACAGTACACAAGTGTTATAACAGGTGTTACTGTGCTATAGACTTCCACAGGTGACAGTACTGTGTGTGTGTGTGTGTGTATGTGTGTGTGTGTGTGTGTGTTTGTGTGTGTATAAAAATACTATAGACAGTGAACAAATTAGACAGAGTAGAAATAATATGTTCTTTATTAGACAGTAAACAAAACAGCCATAATCTAATTAGACACTACACACCTAAATTATGCTGTAATTAGAAACAGCATATAATGATGTATTAGATCCAAAATAAACAATACTCAGACACTATTACACCAACTTATACACTAATTAGAAAGAACATAGGAGACCCTAATATACCATTAGACATTAAATCAAATACAGAGTCGTATCAGATCCAAAATATGCTACAGACTCTATACTGCAAATGATGGTGTGGTGTAATAGACATTTACTGCTACCAACATGGGCCTTTGAAGCTTAATGAGACAACTCAGGCTGTAATTAGACAACTGTGATGTCATGTTATATCAGACATAGTCTTTATAATAATAACTCAAAACACAGCACTCAGAGTTCAATACGTTTAGATACAATACCCACCAAACTATAAAGGATGTATTTCCCACTGTTAGCCCTGTTATTTTAGCAATTTTTAACAGTTATTTGTCCCAGACTGTTTTTAACATGCTGTCATTCATCCTCTCCTAAAAAAGCCCAATCTAGACCCTTTGTCCTTAAACAATTACAGACCCATCTCCAAATTCTTTTTTTCCAAGGTTCTTAAGAAAATAGTCTCATCTAAATTGACATTCTTTAATAATCTTTTTAATAGCTTCCAATCTGGTTTTAGAGCGCACCATAGTAGAGACAGCCCTTGTTAAGGTTACAAATTACTTATTGTGGGCTGCTGACAATGGTTTTTACTTGATTTGAGATTTTAGATTTAAGTGCTGCATTTGACACGTTTTCAATTTACATGCTTCCTCTTCCATCAGCTCTCTCAGCACAAATCTTGGTGACCTCTCTAATTATATTAAGCCAGCTACTAGGAATCTAGGCGTAATATTTGATGCCAACTTGGCTTGATTATTGCAACGCACCTTATTCAGGTATCAGCCAGGCCTCCATCCACCGCCTTCAGCTCACACAAAATGCTGCTGCTTTTCTGATTACTGGAACTAACCAGTACAATCACATAACTACTTGCCTCCCTTCATTGGCTCGCTGTTAGATTTCGGATTGATTTTAAAATTTTGTTACTGACTTTTAAAGTCTTGAATGGCTCTCCTCCCAATTACATCTCCGATTTTTTGAC